AACGAGCAATTAAGAAAGTCAAACATTCAGTTCGGAAGCTTGTGAGTATAAATTTAGCTTCTGATGATGTAAATCGAGTAGAATCAAACCTTTCGTTTCCAGTTAAAAGGAATACAGAACCCATATTTTTATTCAGTATTTTCATTTATTTCACGTTCACGACATAGCGAGTAACCCAGTTAATTTAATGAAAATACTTATACAAATAGTCTGAAGCCCAAAACAGAAAAAAAAGTGGCAATTTTGTCAACAACTACATGTTCCCCTGAAGCTCCTGTTTTATTTTTTCAAATACCCCACTTTTTTGGTCCCGTCTTAGATTGAATAAGTTTATATATCACAGTTTGATTTATGGGCAAGGTATTTAAAGAAGACATATATATATATGGGCATCTGAATTTCTTTCCAAGACTAACATCAGTTTAAGTGTATTCTAAGAAGGTTATGGTGCGTTTATGATAAAAAAAATGGCAATGTTTGCGTTCTTAAGCAAATTATTTTTATTTTCTCAACTCGTGGAAACTCATTCACATGTATTAAACCACAATATTTTATGTGTTTTTATGAACCATCACAGTTTCGAGAAAAAAAAACAAAAAACTTAAAATTCTTAAGCACCTAAAATTCCAGGTTCAAAAAAAGGACGTTAATGCTTTTATTTAACATTGTTTTTCGATTTGTTTTAAATGTTGATAGTTTTTACACTCAGAGAGTGCTGTAGTCGGATGAGTGAATATTATGAAGTTTCGAGTTGTAACCCTATAAGTATGGCGATTTTTTCTAGCATTATCCTTAACGCTATATATAAATCTCAACATCGAAATTCAATCTCTCGTTACCAATATCATAAAACAACAATTATATCAGAAGATGAGCGTCCTTCTTTGGAGACAGAATTAATTGGAGCATTAAAATGAATTTTAAAAATCACCTTTAAGTATTATTCTGCTAACTCCTTTCTTTCAAAAATCTACGGTAAGAATAAGAATTGTGATGGATAACATTTTTCTTTCAAATCTAAATTATAACATTCTTCCACACTGAAATGTAAAATAAGTATTAGTTACATTTCCTATTGTCGACCAGTTAAATTTTAAATGCGAACCACAGAGGACATACAGACTTTAAAATATTTTATCTCATACTTGAGTGGTAAAAACACTTATCGATACATAAAATTCATTGTAAAATGTGTTCCAACTCAGTAACTCATCGGTAAGTCTGAGGGCTTAAACCGCTAAAAATTGGGTTTCGATACTCGTGGATGGCAAGTAGAATTGTGCTTATCAACAACAACAAAAAAAAACGTAAAATGTGCTTTACTTTAATGCTTCAGTGAGATAATTTTCGCCTTAACATAAACGTACCAAGGAAAACACGGAAAGAAGAAACCCATCTTATCAGTCTATTTTTTCATTTGTTGTAAAGTATACATTTTCTAAACGTAAGCCACGAGGAGTTAGCTTTTTCCCCACAGCTAAGCATTAACAATGTCGATAAGAAATGAGAGTAGAATAAATTGACTATTTTTCTGATTTCCTTTTATAGAAGTCGTTCTCATTGTTTACTTTAAACGAAGAAGAAGCTTCTTTGGCAGGTTTAGTCCATGATCGACATTTGGGCACATCTGAGTTTATATGTTGATGATCAGATACAATCGGAGTCGAATACCCATTCAATCCAATCCTCTTTACAAATAAAAAAAAACGATAGTGAAGATATTAGATTTCCCACAACTCATTCCCTGACTTTTTCCTCCACTAAAGTAGTACTTTAAAATGTGTGTTGTTTACCTTCCAACGCTCATTTTCATTATCTTTTCCTTGGTTCTAAGCGGTAAGTTTTCAGACTTACATCGCTAAAATCCGGGGTTCGATTCCCCGAGGTGGACACAGCGAATAGCCCAGTGTAGCTTTGCTCTAAACCAAACAAACAAATAGTCCGATTGCTATATCTTCGTTTTAGATGTGTTTCTTCACCTCTTTTTGTTTTTGGATGTTAACCTATTTGCACAATCAGGATGACGGGATGAAGCTGCTTGATCCTAATAATTCCTGGTATCTAGATCCTGCGAGAAAATTTCACTGGTCTCTTGTTTCATCACCCAGAAAGCACCACGCAGAAACTTTCCTAAGTACAAATTTCTGAGGCTAGTAGACCTTCCGTTAAAAATAAACAATAGGCTAGTATTGTTTTTCTTAAAGCTTTTATTTTATTATGATCCAAGAGTAATAATTACTAGAAAGACGCAAAATCGTATGCTATAAGACAAGGAAATTTAAGGTTTTCTGATTTTTACGTCACTAAAATGCTACGTATTATCATGAAATTTACTGTTAATATATTCGTTACTAGAAATTTGTGCATATTCATTGATTCTCACATGTTACAAGACGCTGCACTTTGTTTAATACCGCAGGGGTACAGTCTGGATTATCCTGAATTGTTCAAGTTGATTCACATTCCTTTGTTCCCCAATATCGTTAAGAACAAGAAATATCCCTGTCTTGGAAATTGGAAATCTCCGATCTGAACACGTCTTTATGATCTGAGTGCATGAACATTTTGCGTCGAAAAGGCTGTTAATTGCCGTTCCTAAAAAGAGATAAGTTTCAGATAGCATCATATTGAGTACACAACGCCAAATAATGTCAAAATATAGTTTTGATACATTCCATTCTATCGTGACTTTGTCTGTCACATTAATTAGTGACTTGCATATTCAAATTATATTGATTATAACGTACTCGACTCTGTGTTTCAGTTATATGAGAGTCACTCACATTCACAACTAGGATGTCTTAATTGAATTTTCTCATTAGTGTTTGATAGACCTGCTAATTTCCAAATATATTTTTTCCAGAAAAGGAAATGAACAAAAAACGATAAAAAGTTATGTAGAGAAATATATATATATTCTTAAATTAGTTCTATTTTTATGATTTTTGTTAAGAATCAAAACCCTTCGATGGGTCAGTGTTTAGTTTACGAAGATAGTCGTAGTCATAGTTACGAACATAGTCCATTGTATAGCTTTGTGTGTTAAAAACACAAAACAAGAACAAGAATCTAACATTAAATATGAACTTAAATGCTCTTTATTGTTTTACAAACTTTTCCTAGAATTCCGAATAAAATACTTGTACAATATTTTAACAACAAAAAAAGGTCAACATGGTATTTTAAATCTTTAAGCCATGTATCCAGGTATAAGCTGTAAGTACGTACGTTGTTCTGTAATCAACTCTCCCTCTTGATCAATTTGTTAAGATATTCCTTTACCTTACAATAAAACTTATCTCCAAACCATTAATATCAAAATCAGATTATTTTGTCAAGCAAAAGGTACAGATCTTGCATTGTCAAAAGGGAAATAGTGTGGATGATATCTGACAGCACAAAAACTATTTAGGCTTATAGTTTAATGCGGTTTAGGACCACCCTTTACCATGTCCAAACTATCAGGAATAAAACTTCTGAGTTTCAAAGTGCCTCTGTTGAAATTTTTCTCTCCCTTTCCCTAAAGGAAGTAGTTTTTAAGATATGGTGATTTAAACATGGTATTTTATTTATAATCGTCCTATTATTGCACTAATTCCGGGATCTTACCACGAAACTTACTGCTTAACATAAAGCAAACACACACATAGAATATAGTAGCGAAGGTAAAACCAAATTTTGTACACTATAGCTCCTAAGTTTTCCATTTCTCAAGCTTTTTCTTCCAAATACATATTTTATAAACACATTGATTTCACATTGGAAAAGTTAAGACGAAAAAATATAGTACACCGATAACAATAGTTCTATCAAAAGTTCTATCTGTGGTCATCAAAAACTACAGTATTCTCTTAATGTGGCTTATCTTTTTTCCCTACCAGGTTCTCAGTGTTGGCGTACTAAATAACAAGAGCAGAATACGTCCTACAAGTTCACAATTAGAAATATCGCTTACACTCATCTCGCGAGATAAAAATACGTCGACAATGAGACACGAAAACAATTGTGGTCAGTTTATCCAAATCAACAGCCTTTACATGCAGACACTTTATTTTTGTAAAACCTAAGCACTTAATTATTTTCTTATAAATTTGATTATCTAAAGACGTATATGTGTGAAGCCTTTTCTAGCTTACTTCATTTTAGAAAATATTCCATCCTCACTCTCTTCTTATTTGCATATTTGTTCTTTTTTGTATCGGTTTTGTTTGTGCTTGACAAGAAAATGCCTTTCATTTTGCAATTTTTGTAAATATATGTGTCTGAAATTTTCCGTGAGAACTAATGTCATGCATGTTTTCTTACTGAACCTCCATCTTGTGTATTTTTGATATTCATATAGAAATATTGATCCAACTTTCTACCTTCGGATAAATTACAAACTACATCTGTCAATACCCGGATTTCACAGCTTTACTCCAGCTTACTTGACTAACAATGGCAGAGCTTGCAAAACTCGCTAGCCTGGTCGAAAGCTTGGCTTCAGTGAGAGCGGAGTAATGTAAGAACTTGATTGAAAAGAAAATCTTAGATTTCTAAATATGAATAAAAAATACAGTTTATAACAGTTACTTAATGCCATTTCAAAATAAGAATTCACGAAGAAAAAAACTTAGACTTTTTAAGTTGTAGTCTTTATTTCACAACATCTTCATTAAATTAATACATGTAGTTAGACAAAGATAAATTCTATGTCATGAAGATAGCCCACATTCTTGAAACGTCTTGTTCTGGTGAGAGTGACCTTATAATCCCTTGAGTTTTGCACGATTTTACTTTTTCTGTTTTCGATCTTGAAAAACGGAGATCTAACCCAGAAGAATGGTCACAGAAGGCCACCAAATATCCGCAGGGCCTTCCTGTGTAATTTATATTCTTCCACGCTAACCCTAAAGCTGGTTGCTGTGTATTATTCGTTTCTGCTTCGATAGAAAACGTGTTGGCATTGCGCATGCTCAATTGATGTCACACGAAACAGCGTCTTGATGCTTATTGTCAGAGTGTGTGTTTGGCAGTCCACTTGGCTCAACCCCGCTTGTTAACAGAAGTCGCTTCACCTGAGGTATCAAAATAAATGCTAGTCTTGCTTTGAAGACCTTTTCAAGTAGCACTGGACCAGAAGTTGCAGAACAGCGGAAAGTTGCAATATAGGTAAGACTATACCTATGGTAAATTATGTTTTTGGAAATTCCAACTCCTTTTTTATTTTTAAAAATTTGTTTAAATGCATTTGTTGAATCTAATAAGCAAAACAGATACACTGTATACCCTTTAATATAATCAAACGTTTTAGAAATGTAGTATCCACTTTCGTTTACAATTATTTTTTGTCTGCACTCACATTTTATTGTACTGAGACTAACTAGAGCTATTTAGTCGAAGATCGACAAATTGGAAGTTGAGCTGTTTAGTAAGACAGGTACTGTTGATTTGTTTTTACTTTCTTATTAGGGCTAACGCTCTTTTTATTTCGAAAGCTTGTCGGTATAAAGTATAACTATAACTTTATATAAGAACAAATAAATTCAAATTAGGGACTGGGATTGTGGTTTCTCCTGTAACTTCGTTTGCTTTTGCTGTTCTCACGCGTATAAAACGTCATCCGAATATACTTGATTGTGATGCCGATAGAACAGACTCGGTTAAGATAAAAGGAAAAGAGTGGAAAATCTGTTCCAAAAATCCGACACCATAATTGTGGGAAATATGACTGGTTAAGCGAGTTGTAATACTTGTGTGCCACGTGGTTGCTGTATTTAAGATAGACAAAAATCACTTAACTATTATTTCTAGTAAAATAACAGATTGTTTAAGCCAATGTTTTAACATTATCCACTGATGAACAAGAGCTAAAAAAAATAGGTTTAGAGAAAACTGGTTTCTTTATATTATTTTAACCCACATGGCAGAAATTATTCATAAACTATAATTCAATAAGTATATTAACAATGTTGTTATGGTGTCATCAACCGAAATAAGGTCACATGATAGACTGCTTTATCCTTACTCACTTGACAACAATACCATGTTAAAATGTTTAAAGAATAAATTTATTACATTTGTTATATTTAACTTATCTTTATTTATAGAGCAAAAATAATGTATGGAAAAGATCTGCGACATATCACTTGACTCTTAAATGTTTACAGGTATAAAGATAAGATAATTATTCCAAGATTAAGTGTATTTCTGACATAAAGCTGAAAGGTAATGTCCATATTACTAATCTATATATAAAACTGAAAATTTCTCTGTTTGTCCGCCGCGTTCACACTGCCCTCACGTGAAAGTGCGCAAAACGACAATTTTTTGTTCACACACGCGTCTATCGTCTGCTATCTGTACCGGTAATTTTATCATTAACATATGCATTACACGAATAAATTCTATGCAGAGTTGACAATTTTTGGTAAGTTTGAGCTAACATTTAATTTAGAATATAGCATTATTGGCATATTTAGTTATAGATCATTAACTATACATCTACTAATATATCATATATTTAACCTCACACACGATAGAAATGTATGCAGAATTAGAATGTCGTGTGTGAAAAAACAAACAGTAGGCCTAGCCTATAAAATAAAATTATGCCATCTGCCATAGAATAGAATACGTGTAAAGAGTAAGGCTTAGATTATAATACTTATTGTGTACAATGAGATTAAAGTCAAGTCAGTGTAACTGGTAAAGCGCTTGCATGAGGTGGAAGATGGGTTGAATCTGGAAACTGTATTTTTTTATTAGCATTAGAATAGATAGAACTATTTTGTTATAGATCATTAACTATACATCTACTAATACATCATGTATTTAACCTCACATACAAAAGAAATGTATGCAGAATTAGAATGTTTTGTGTGAAAAAGCAAACAGTAGGCCTAGCCTATAAAATAAAATTAGGCTGTCTACCATAAAATAGACTACGTGAAAAGGGTAAGGCTTACATTATAATACTTATTGTACAAAATGAGATTAAAGTCAAGTCAGCGAATATATTTTATTCTACTTTTTTTTTCTCTCCAGGTGGTTTGATTTTTTTCCTTTTGATACATTATAAAGTACAATATTGCATTTCGTTTGTAGTATATTTCATACATGTATGTCATAATGTGAATACGGTATCACATTCATAAAAAATATATTAAATTTACGTTAAAGCAAAATTAACATAATATTACATACATATTTACGTTTGAAATGTAAATATTTGAGGAGGGATGGGGGGAATAGAGCTAGACTTATCATTTTCGCCAGAACGGGTACTCATATGTGTAAATATTCGCCGTAGGGGCCTATTTATCCTGCCAGTAAATAAAATAATCGTCCATAAGGAAGCCCTGAGTTAAAAGAGCTTCATGCTTTATTTTCAAAAATCAAACCTACTGTTATTTTTGTTTTGTTTTTCATACATTCCCACAAATCTTTTTTACTTATCGAAATCCAGAACGGGAAAACAGAGAGAGTAGGTTGTTGTTTTTTCGAAAACCCGGGCAACGCCGGGTAAAGCTGCTAGTATACAATAAAACAATTCCCATTCTGAGGTAAATTGAAAATAAGCTAGGTTCTTTAGTCAAATGATACGTGTCGAACTCTGCTAAGAAATCTAAATGTTTAGTTATTACTTTACAATGACCTACTCTTTCAGATGGATTAACCTATTTATGATAATAACTCATGCTGTATACGATGCAACCTTTAAAAAGACAGTGTACGTCACGTTACGCTTGATTTCTGGAAATAGGGGGAGTCATAAAAGCCAAAATGCATTTATCCAGATAGAATAGTTCGATTACTGTCTGCTCATTAAGATTTTGGTGACGGAGGTGCAAGGGAACCGCAAGGGTGGTTCGATGAAACCTTATAAGTGTAGTGAATGTTGGTATAATAAGCTTAAAGTAAAGACATAGTGTGGGATCACCTAGCCTAGAACCAAGTGCATAAAAGTTATCATGAATATAAAAATTTCGATTCAAACCGTTTCTGAATTAAGCTATTTTCTGTTATATCACTAACATTTTTAATAAAAACAAACAAACCTCTTTAATCAACGGAGACTCTAAATTAGAAAAATAAATATTTTTCCAGTTATGCGCGTGACATCATGCATATATTACCAGCAAGCCGAAAAGTAAACACCGCCATATTGGACGTAGCAGAGAGACAATCTAGTAATGAGTAGTAATCACAATATAGTTGCTGGTATTGGAATTTGGGATCAAGTATTTGAAATGACAATCAGCTAAGTGGAAGTTACTTGTTCAAACAACTAGACAAAGAATCCGGAGATATCATTTTATAGGTTTACAAAAGAACCACTATGTAAAGTTCAGTAGACTGCGGCAATAAAACGTGCAGACAAAAAAAAAAAATTGACAAGGCTTGGTAACCATCGTTTTATCATAGACTACGTAGTTCTAATTGTATATTTGGTTTATTTGGTTAGTACTACTTGTATGTACAATGTACCTTGTCACAGTCATATTGTACAGATCTCGATAAAATCTGGAGCCTGTAAATACTTGGTGCTTCCCGTAATCTAAATACTATGATGCAGGCTCAGTGGAAAGACCCAGTAGCCGATAATAGTTTTAACGTTATTAAAAATGTGGCTTGTCAAGACAGGTGGTCTTAAAATACAGGGCTTATTTGTGTAAAATATACAGTAATGTATACTGAAGAAAGTGGTCTTACAGGACAGGAAGCTTTAAAATGAAATACAAAACGATGTGTTATATCGAAATTGTAAATTTACCACTGATAGAACATAAACAATAGGCCTAGTCACACAACAAAAACTTCGACTTACCCTCGAGTAAGCTATGTAGTTGAACGTCTTGTACACTTTCCACAGTCTGACAACGTGCACCCAGTCACAAAGTACTTGTAAGCATTAAAGCTTATATAGGCCTTGAACTGCTTTCCAGTGTAAAGAGATGTTGTCAGGACTAAATATTTTACGATATCTACATTTTCAACCTGTGGGAGTTTGACGTTCGTTTGTATGCCTAACTTGGGTCCTCTGTTTGCAATGTCGACCAATTTACTGGCATCTAGTGCGATTGTCATTGCTGATGGAATGGAATAAGGTCAAGACTGACTTTTCTGCACTTTTTTTTCATATCTTGACTTGTATATATTGTTTAATTTGCTAGTAAATTCGTGAAAAATAAACGGAAAACTAGGTGATTGTGTAGTGGAGGCTATGTTTACACGAATAATGTTTACGTCCAGTATGTCTGTTGCCGTGTTTACTTTGGTCACGTGACTGCATAAACTCTATACCTTTCATTATATACTTTCAGTACATAGACTAAAAACAATTTTAGATTATACTTTTGTTGCTAAACAACATGGCATAGAAGCCATTGTTGGAACGTAGTGTTACCAAAGTGCTCTGGCTTTTCTATATATTAGAAGTTGTTAATATAGCTGATTTTTACCTGTATACGCATCGAATTAATTTCATGAACGATATTAATTTTGATTGGCTCACAAAGGAATTTGCCTAAGTTTGACTACCTCGACTGCACTTTTCTGCCTCTTTGTTGGTCAAGCTTGATTTCGCAAAATTTATTTATTATCAGTTAGCTATGAAATGTGAGGTTAGGGTATACTATGGGGTAGGGGTAGTATTTGCCCCATAATTTTTGACGGACTATAACACTAGTAGGAATGTAACCCACGACGAAGTACAAAGTGCTATTTCTTTTGTCGTTAAATATTTCATGAGTGGCGTTGCAATCTTTCAAGCTCTAAGACGTAACAAGTTAGCCATCAGAGAAATATTCTGTGTGTTTACCTGTTTCATTACTTATTCATTTTATTTGACACGAAGAAGTATATCAATAAATATATGGAGATTGATAATCAGTACGAAGAAACAGGGCCTCCAGTACTGACAAGAAACGCTTCTGGAGGTTAATATTCAGTACAGAGAAACAGAGCCTCCAGTACTGACAAGAAACGCTTCTGGAGGTTAATATTGAGTACAGAGAATCAGTCTTCAGTGCTGACGAGAAGCGCTTCTAGAATTGGCTTTCATTAAACAAATATGAATTTCATACATTATGGTTTAACTGTTTACTCTGATTCAGTGAGCTCTGAAATGGAGAATCAGCGCTTCATAAACGCAGCACAGTGTAAAGCTT